TCATGGCATTGTCTTTTTAATCTAAAACATCCGCTGACCAGTGTCCACAAGATTATAATTCTATTGGGTTCTGCTGTGCAAAAATTGACCATGTGACCAATAGCTATACACCAAATGGAAATAAAAGGGAGTTGAATGGTATAAATTGCTATCAGAATCCTTATACCGGTATTTGTATTTCTGTTTTCCTTGCCAGTAAACACGTATGGTATTTACAGTTGGGAGGAATTTACAGTTGGGAGAAAATGTGTAAAATATTGCATGACATGCCTGAAATGCAAACTGGGGGTTCCAATCCTGCTACAGGGCCTGGTGCTATGATATACAAACTGCATGTCATGAAATCACAATAGTGAATTACCATATCAGAGCTGAGAACTGGTCCTTCTTTAGGAAAAACATTCAGGTTAAATACAAACATTCAAAAAGCCCAAGGCAGACATGATCTAAGTTTCACTCTTTAAGCACCCTAGGTTAGATCAGGAGTGAACAGAAGAGACATTTGTCCTTTGGTGGAGGGGCATGCAGGCAGCCTGTACTGGCTGGGGTCAGTAGGTTGGGGGCAGTCCTGCATGCTTCCCAGCAGGCTGCCAGACAATGCTGAGCCCTGTCAAGCAGCCGGCCACCCCTGACTGGCAGCCCTTCCACCCCTGCCAGTGGCTGGCTGTCAGCGGTGGAGGAAGTGGGGTGGGGAAACAGAGGCCCCCACCCTGGCTCCAGCCCTCCCAGAACTGAGCTAATACAGCTGGGGGGAGCCTGCAAAATGGGGGCTTCCCACCTACTGCCTGACCTGGCTGGCTAACACGGCTCCTCAGCACCCCCTGCATCAGCATTGGGGGGGCGGGGTGGGGTAGAAAGCAGTGGCCCCCACCATGTGGCCCCTCCCAAATGTATTGGCTCAGGTCTGGGACAGGGGCCTCTGCTCCCTCCCTGCCCCCCATCACTGACAGTCAGCTGCTCATGGGGGGACAAGGCAAGGGAGAGGAGCTATGCTGGCCAGCCAGGCTGGGCAGTAGCAGAGGGAGCCCCCACCATGCAGGCACCCCTCAGCTGTGCGGGCTCAGGCCAGGGCCAGGTCTGGCTGGGCCTGGTCCCCCATCACCCAGCCACAGCTGACAGCTTGCATGGCCCTGTGTCCCACTTCCTGCCTGCAGCTGGCTCTGCAATTTCCTGTTCAGCCAGAGATGACAAGCTTGGCCAAGGCTACCATGTTGTCCTGTGAGGTGGGGGTTAATGGGTACCCAATAAAGCAGCCTGGGATGCCAAGGGACCACTACTTGAGTCAGGAAGGGATCTGTTACAGAAGTTCAATACATTGATCTAAATAGCTTAAGTCTGATACTACCACCTCCTTCCAAGTCTATCTCAGACTGGGTTCTTCCATCTTTAAATTGGTCTATGTGCACCAAATTTCTGTATGGGAGTGTGTTTAGATGGGTTTTTGATCATTTATAACGGTTAATGTGTAATGTCTATACCTGGCCTAAAACGGGTTTGCAAAGAAGCCTCAAGGAATTATAGATACAGTAGGTGTTTTCAATTGCTTGTTTTGAGTTGAGTAGCTCTTGTCATCTACCCCACTGACAAACATCAGAAAAGAATCATCAGGACAACTGCCAAACCTAGTTATGTTCGTTCTTGTGTGACAGCACTAGAATAGGAGAAGATACAGGAAGGTATTTCCCACCAGTACAGCTGCTCAGGAACGAAAAGCCAGGCAGTAATTGATTGACCAAATGAGGATGTGTTTAGACTGAGCAGAGCTTCAGTATCAGCTATGAGGAAGTACTAGGTAGGCTGCCCTGAGGGGTGAGGTCTAGGAGGGTTTTTCCCCTTCCCATTTTTAAAGAGATAATGCCAAATCCTGTTTCATTTTTACATGCATAGAGTGGCACTTAAATACCACCATGAGTTTGATTTTCAGTACTGATATAGAGTTTAGATTTACTTCAACTTACATAACTACACTTGCCCATACCAATCCCACTCCAGAGATTCCCAGTACAGAAGAACCCTTAATAAGCGCAGAACCAGCACAGCAGAGCCATACGTCTTTTTTGGCTGCTCCTAGCAGTGAGGAACAGTTTGTGGCTAAGGAAGGATATGGCAAGGGTACATTCTGGTTATGCTTAGCTTTAGGTCAGTCTCTTGGGGACTCTTGCCAGCTGGCACATTACAGAGCAGCCCTCAGGCTGCTCTTCAAGTGTCCAGATTTTCTCAGAGAATCAGGAAGTGACAATTATCTCCTTAGCATCTCCCTCTCTGTTCTGCACTCAAATGCTGTTTGTTTATTCAGGCAAAAAGTCAACAGTTTTTTTCTCATACCTTGATTGGTAAAATGAGAAATGAAACTAACCAGGGGATCTGGAAGGAATTGTTTGTTAGTAGGATCAGCTTCTCATTGTTAATATTGTAATTCACATAAAAGCAGGTTTTCAAAGTCTGGCTTCTATATTTTCACCTAATTTTCTGGTCGTAAACATTTACATGTGTAACTATAAAAAACTAATATCCAAGCAAAACACCAAATATTTTGAAAGCTGCATACATTTGATGACTTGTGGGTAGAACAAAATATTTTTCTCTCCAGTGTGAATAACTGCGTTGCTCTGACCATTTGGAAGAAGACCAACAAATATTCCTTTGTTTCGCACAGACTCCAGACTGACTGATCCATTTTCTAAGTTCTTCTCAGTTTTAAAGTGACAGTACACATCACCTGTGCCCTAAGAAAAAGGAAACAGAGAAACATAAGCTCAACAACTGAACGTAACACAAAGCTGAAGAACTTATTTTAAACCCTGAATATTTTGTCATTTCATTTCATTTTTTGGTTTTTAGCACATTGCTAAGTTCTCTGACTCTTCAGTCTTACAAAGATCACTTGATGTTTGGCCCTATTTATTCCTTTGTGCTTAGAAATAGCAAACAAATTATCTGAATTTATAAATATAATCATGCATAAGACTGAATGCTAATTCAGGTACATACTTAGACAAAGTCTGCATGGGGCAGGGTGAGGTGGGCTGAGGCCTGTGGCGGAGGTGGCCCTGGGATCTTCCCAGAGGGGGCTGAGCCAGGCTGCACTCAGGGTGGGTGGCAGTGGCATTAGGAGGGAAGCTGGGGTGGCTATGGTGAATTCTGGAGTGGCTGCAGCCCCCTTTCCTGTAGCCCTGCTCCCATAGGCCCCCATGGTAAAGGAGGGAGTGAGGCAGGGACAGGTGCTACACAGCTACGTGGAGCCTGGGACTGAGCTGCACATACCGTGGGAGGGCGTGGTTGGGCATGTGCCCCCGGATCTGCACACAGGGCAGGCTGGAACAGTGCCAAGCTGTTCCCAGTGGGGGGGTCAGGCCAGGCTGCGTGCAGGGCAAGTGGCAGTGGTGCTGGCAGGTGGTCTACGGGGGGGCTGCAGCCACTCCAGAATTCACCATAGCTCTTCCAACCCCCATCCCAGCATCACCACTGTCTGCCCCGAGCACAGTGTGGCCCAGCCCCACACCAACAACATCTTGGTACAGTGCCAGCCCCAGCTTGTCTCGCACTGCCTCACAGACACGTACCCCCCCTGCTCTCCTGGTGTGCATGTAGCGGCAGCACTGGGAGGAGGGGCCAAACAGGGGGAGAACTTGCACGTGGCCGCCGCCAGCTACTGGCTAAGGGCGGCAGCCCAGCAGCCAAGCAGGAGAGCGAGCTGGGGTGTGGGGCAGGGAGGCGCTTCAGTGTGCTGTGTGGGGCCAGCAGTGCCTGGTGTGCCCCCCCTCCCCTGGGTAAGAGGCAAAGGTGCCAGGGGAGATGCCCCTATCGCACCCCAGGGTACACTCCATCCCCGCCAGCCC